CCCCCCCCCCCTTTACACACACAGACACAACCATGCACACCTGGCTCACCAGTCGAGGAGTCTTCATATGTGCAAGTCCCCCCCCCAAACGCCTAGTCAATCCAGACCTGACACTGTGCAGAGGAGAGGAGGGAGGGGAGGAGGCACCCCCACACTGGACTGAGGATGCAAAAGCTGCTTTAAAAACAAACAAGAGAAACTCAGCACTATTATGCAATATTGAACAAGCCAACTAGTTTATTTTCTCCTCCATCAAACCCCCTTCTCCCCCAACACCCCCCTTTCCCCCGGTTTGTCTCCTTTACTTGTGCCCTAGTGGGTCCTTTTCCCTTCCTTCAGCACAGTCTTTCCTTAAATCGTCTCCTTTGCCATCTACAATACCTCAAGTCAGTTTAAGCAGCAGCACTTTTACATTCTGTTTTTAATATTACAAAAGAGGAAGCGGAGAAAGGAAGGGTCAGCGTTATTGGTGGTGATTTACTTTGGACCAGAAGTCCTCCCAGTTGCGCCCGTTATTGTTCCTTTCTCCTCGTGTTTCCCTCTGATCTGCCACTTTTCATTCCTGTGTGAAATCACCAGATTCTTTGTTGTTGTTGAGCACACTGCCACCTGTTGGCGACGAGGTATAAATGCCCCTTTAAAGTCACAACATTGAGTTGTTGTCTTACAAGGTTTCCTATGAGTTTGGATTTATCTTTAGCAGTCTGCTGTCACATTTTAAACGGACAGTTTCCATTGGCTGATATTTAAATTGCAGCCATCTATGGATTTTATTTAAAGTATAACACTGTTATTTGATTCTGGTTTTTATTTTCTTCTACATTATGTGAAACATTTTATTATTACGACTTTTAAAAAATCATTTTAATCATGTAAGCTTGTGTTTTTAATCAGAGTATTCATCATGCATTCATGCTCTCAGTGCTTTATCTCACATTTCCCTCTCTTGAGTTTTGAGATCACATCAATGGTTTCCTCTAGTGCAATAAATAGCTGAACTAAGGGACGTGGCTCGAAGAGGACGTAAATGATACATAAGAGCAGTTCATTTGAAAGTGAGTGTCCTCAAAAGGAGAACGGTTTGCCACTCGTGAGGCACGTATGCATGGCTCCTCGTTGAGACAGTTGATCAGCCTGTTCTTAGAGTTTGCCCTTGACGTTGGGCAAAAATGGTGCAACTGCAGTTTCAGTTGATTTTCATGTTTTTACTTGAATTGAAGGATTTGATGCCTCTGTGGTTTGAGATGATCATTTCAGAATTCCTGATCATCAGTTTGCTAATCAGGCTGATTTTCTAAGGCAGCAAAGAGGAGTGTAAAGCCCATAAAGAGGTAGTATTCAAGTGCCTGGTGGAAGTGAAATATTCAAACTTGTTATAGGGATCATACTTCAGTTGGTTAAATCATCAGATAGCATATTCCAACAAATGGACAGCATAAGAAGGTTTCACCCGATGCCTCTTGTTCTCCTGACTTTTCTATACATCTCATTCTAATCATCCTGAGATCAATGTATTTATTATGTTTGCCTACACAGCAGTGTTAGCTAGCTGTTGGCGTTGCTTTGAAGCAGTGTTTGAGCAAGCCGTGCTGTCTTTGTGCTTAAACTCCACCTGCCATGGATCCAGCTGCTACAGTGTGTTGTCAAACTCTTCATAAACCAGATCCTACAATAAATTCTGCCAGACTTGTAATGCAATTCCTGTCCATGCAACCGGCCCAAAGTGGTGACTTGCTGCAGCAGAACGCAGAGGAGTTCGGTTGGTGACCAATATTTGCGGCAAAAGTCCTGCTGTCTGTTGATTTGGGTCACAGCTTAGCTCCTCTGTGCCACTGAAAGCTCATCTCGGGGGTGTTTTTCAAAGTTAACTGCACTTAAAAGAAGCTGTGTTTGGGGAGTGAACACAGGCGTGGTGCTACTCTGTCTGAATTAGAATCTGAATGAGACTCTGGATGAGCAGGTGGGAAGGGAAGTAGAAAAAGGAACAGTTGACCTCACTCACTTTAGGACAGGAGAAAATCCCACTGCTATGGTTTGAGGATGTCAATCGGTAGCGTTGAAAACCTGTAACGGTACGATGGCGGACGTTCCCTCTGAGGTGTATTGTTAGTCCTTCTGACTGCCTTTCATAGGCTAGCCTTCCAGTGAGGAAGCCAGTGGGTTTGAGCCTTCATCATTTCACTAGAATCATTTAGTGAAAGCCTTTTTTAAAAGCCAGATCGAAAGTATATTTGTACATTTTAAATGATGTAATGCACACCACTTATTTTTGCTAACGGAAACAAATGTAGTCTCATTATTAATCTTAGTAATACATGTATTATGAAAAGTAA